CAGTTGCTAAGGTGTTCTTGTTTTTAGCATGATGTTCTGTGGCTGCCAGGGTGTTGCTATGCTGTTGCTAAGATGTTGTTGTTGTTTTTTTGCATGGTGTTCTGTGGTTGCCAGGGTGTTGCTATGCGGTTGCTGAGAGCTCTCTGCAGCATGATGGTCTGTGGTTGTTAGGATGTTTTTTATGGTTGTCAGGGAGTCACTATGCAGTTTAAAGTGTTTTTTAACAAGTCGATATATGGTTGCTAAGGTGTTGTTATACAGTTGCTAATGTTTAGTGAAACATTGCAATGTATGTTTTTTGGTTTCTCAGGACTCTTGTATGGTTGTCAGGGTGATGCTATGCAGTTGCACTGGCGTTGTGAGTATTTTTTTACAGCTTGATGGTCTGTGGTTAATGGGGTGTTGCGAGTAGTTGCCAGGGTGTTACTTTGTAGTAGCTCATGAGTTTTGAGTATTTTTTGAAGCATGACGCTCTGTGGTTGCTAGGGTGTTCTGTACAGTATGTATGCCGGTGTGTTACTATGCAGTTTATTGTTGCTGTATGGTCACTAAGGTGTTATTAAATGTGATGTGCATGTTGCTAATGTGATGTGTATGTTTCTCAGGCTATTGCTATTCACATTTTTTGTCCGTGTTCTAACGTGTTGTTATGTGGTTGCTAATATGATGTGCATGTTTGCCAGGTCCTTGCTAGTCACAATTGGGGTTTTATTTGGCAGTGTTTTTAACATGTTGCAATATGATTGCTAGGAAATGATATTGTCAATTTCATCTCACTCATTTGTTTGACACCATGCGTATTCATCAGTCATATCTTAATTGTCATTTCCTTTGAGTATGTATTTACAAACACCCTGAAATGGACTGGTAATCTCCAGCAGTGTTTACTCACGAGAGGTTGTTAACCAGGACAGCGACTTCTGTCTCGTTTTGCTTTGCATGCATCACGTGACACTGCCCTCCCCCCTCTTAATACCCTCTCTCAACTCTAAATCAATTACATCATCCCATCATCTGCTGCTCGGCCGCTCTGACAGAGTCTGCATACACACAAACAGCAGATAAAAAGATAGCAAGGCCACATATTCACTTGACTCAGACCTCTTGCTCTTCAGACACCAAATTCAGCAACAAACAACTGCGTCTGTCACAGGCCTTCCCGGCCGACTGTTGATCTCACATGATTGAGCGAGCGAGTGTAAGCTCTCAGAGTTAATCTTGTCAACAGGTAATGACAGGAAATTTAGATTGGAGAGTATTTCTAGATCTGTGGAAAAGGTCCAGATGCCACCCTGTGGTTTTGAAAAGGCTTTGCATGCTATTGCGCCAACTTCAAATATGTGATACTGATTGGTCCGTTTTTGCATACTGGAGGCTCTTTTTCTATGTTTTACACATTTTATGAATGACTTTTGTTCAAGATATTAAAATCATCTCTAATAGCTTTACTCAGAACCACAACTGTTCCCTGTGGTCAGTTGTTACAGGTTCAAGAAACCCTTGAGTGCTTTTGTTTTTTGAGATTTTGGCTGATTTGTGTGTGTTGAGCGTTAGTTAAGACAATGTTAGCACCTGTTAGCTTTTATTGTGGAGAAAACTGGATATTTTTGAGCTTTTGGTGGCAGCTGTTCCATGATAGACATGGTGGAGTAAACTCAGCAGGCACGCGCTCGTGTCTGTGTTCAGAAGTATCGCTGTAAAACAGCCGAGAGGAGAAGAAAAGTCATGCCAGCACGTCAAATGGGCCACAGTGTGTGTGTGTGTGTGTGTGTGTGTGTGTGTGTGTGTGTGTGTGTGTGTGTGTGTGTGTGTGTGTGTGTGTGTGTGTGTGTGTGTGTGTGTGTGTGTGTGTGTGAGAGAGAGAGAGAGAAGTAGGGGCTTCTGCTGTGTGTCAGTGAAAGACTGATCCAGCAAACACACATGCAGTCAAATTGTGCACAGTTGTAAATACTCGCGCTCGCCTCCCTTGCGACAGTGCGCATATGAGATAAATGACGTCAGTACACAATAATCGGTTATGATTATTACTGAACCGATACCGAATTGTCTGCGTCTGCATCGCGGTGCATTGAAGAAACAATTAATTTTGTCACCCCTTATGACTGCACATGCTTTTTCGAAGGCAAGGCAGACCTGCAAAGCTGTGAAACCCAATGACGTTGACTAGGTGAGACCGCGCCCACCGACTCCACATCCGCGGTGCTGTCAGGGCCGATACAGCAAAGCTGTTTGTGTGCAGCAAGCATTTTTGTCTGGAGAGCAGTACGAGAAACGGCGTACTTTGTGTTTTATCAGTTGAGTTCGTTCACATTCGGACACATCGCCTATATCTGTGCTGCTGTGTTCACCTATTTTTAAAATCCTCCAGATTACTGACAGGGCTAATGGTTGAAATAGACAGGGCAAGAAACCTGTAATGTAATGTGTATTTATATAGCGCATTTAGTGTGTATGGCCATACACCCAAAGCGCTTCACAATCATGGTGGGGGGTCTCTCCACACCACCACCAGTGCGCTTGCCACTCACCAGCTATTGGTGAAGTGGAAAGACTCCAATTCGGAGGATGGGGATGATTGGAAGGCCATGATCGTAAGGGACGATTGAGGGCCAGGACATCAGGATTACAACAATACACTTTATGAGAAGTGCCATGGGATTTTTAATTACCACAGAGAGTCAAGACCTCGGTTTAATGTCTCATCCGAAAGATGGTCCCCACTGACAGTGTCGTGTGCCCTTCACTTTTACTTGGGCATTAGGACTCACACAGACCACAGGTTGAGCGCCCCCTTCTGGCCTCTCTAACACCACTTCCAACAGCAACCTAGTTTTCCCATGTGGTCTCCCATCCAGGTACTGACCAGGCTCAGCCCTGCTTAGCTTCAGTGGATAACCGGTCTTGGGCTGCAGGGTAATATGGCTGTGGCTGAGAAGAGAAGACACTTCTATACAGCTTAAAGTGACATGTAATGGCTTAACTAGGTTATTGAGGCTAACTAGGCAGGTTAGGGTTATTAGGCAAGCTATTCTATAACGATGGTTTGTTCTGTAGGCTTGAAAAAAATACATAGTTTAAAGGGGCTAATAATTTTGACCTTAAAGAGGTATTTGAAAAATTAAAAACTGCTTTTTTTCTGGACAAAATAAAGCAAATAAGACTTTCTCCAGAAGAAAAAATATTACCAGACATACTGTGAAATTTCCTTTTTTCTGTTAAACATCACTTGAGAAATATTTAAAAAAGAAAAAGAAATCAAGGGGGGCTAATAATTCTGACTTCAACTATACTTAAAAATTATTTTTGCTAAATTGTTGCAGGCAGTTTTTATGGGCTGAATTTAAACAAACTAAATTTAGTAAACTTTAACTTAATATGTTTGTTTAAATTCAACCAAAATAATTTGTTTTCAACCACTTAAAAAAAGTAAATCCAGTGAATCATTATTTTCTGTGTACTTTTTCCCAATAACCTGTTATGGTTGGTAGTTTGATTATTAAAAAAAACACAGTTGAATCTTACCCAACATTTCAAAGTTCAGCTAGTTGGCGAAAGGGGTCTGGATGCAGACTTGGTGCAGTTCAATCTGGGCTGCATCCAATGCTTTTTAATGGGCTCACCTAACCCCCCTACCCCTCACAGTGACTTCACTAGCTCCATTTGAGTGCATTGTATCTGACATTGCATCGCTGAGTGATGCAATCTCAGCGTGCATCACAGAGGCTGCATCCAGATACTGTTGTAGTTGGCTAGATCCAGTTCACCCCTGCTGGTAGAATATGTAACTGCAACATCATTAGGATTCTTAAAATCTTTTTAAAAGTAGTTAGTTGAAAAATATACAAACAATTAAAAATAATAATAGTGATGTATGTAGTAGGAGTGTTATTAATAATAATTGTTATAATAATAGTTATACTACTACTTCTGTTACTATAATAGTAACATAGAAATATATTCATTTAAAACACACGAGTAAAAAAACATAAAATATTATTGAACTATTATATATTTTTATAAGCATGTATTATTTATTAATAATTGTAAAAATTAATAAATATAAAAATATTAAGTAAGATCAAATTAATTTAAACATTAATAAATGAATACATTTTAAACATTATTACATATAAACAATCATTAAATAAGATCAAATTAATTGATTAATCAATCCACAAACGCATTAGAATAAATAAATAAATAAATGTAAAAATACAAAATGTAATAATATGTTTATATTAAAATTACTTTAAAACAAATAAATACAAGTGTGATTAAAAAGAAAAAAATAACCCATCAAAGACGATAAGTAGATCAATTAATACAATATAGTAATACAATAATATTTAAAGATATTATAATGGAATAATGTTTTACATAACATTTGTGATCATATTTAAATCATATATATTATTTTTATTTTAAATTTTAATTCTTTAATTTAATAACATTTTTATTGTTTTTTTTTTATTTTAAATAAAAAATACTCTTGTCGTAGCATTTACAGTATATACTGCAAATTACTGACGATTTGAAGTGCTTCTTTTATCCTCACTTATAAGTCACTTTGGGAGAAAGTCATCTGCTAAATGACTAAATAAAAAATATTTTAGATTACAGTTCATGCTATCAACTACCGGCTTATTACCTGCCTATTATTAAGATATTACCTGTTCATCAGTAGTTATAAAGTATCTTATTTTATATCCCTACCCAAAACCTAAATCCAACTTCTACCTTGCTAACTATTATTAAACAGCTAATTAGTAGTTTAATAAGCTAGTAGTGTTAGTTAATGGTTTGTTAATAAAGTGAAAACTAAATAAAGTAAAACTAAAGTGTTATCAAAATATTAAAGTGCTGCAACAAGTTATTTCTTCCTCAACCAATGGTATGAGTTCGGGGTGGAGCTACCTAGTTATCAGTACAAAGAGTTAGGCTAACAGAAAAAGTAGTTTGCAGCACTCGATTGACAAATGACAGCTGTTCTCCTCCTGCAGGACACAACAGGAATTCCCATGCACTTTTGGGGAGTGTTTGATGGTCACGCCGGCTCTGGTGCTGCTCTCATGGCCTCCAAACTCCTCCAGAGGATCATTCGGGACCGGCTCTGTGACGTCGCTCATCTCCTGGAAAACCACAACAGTCCTCCGCCGATCTGCCTGGCCAAAAACGGGAGCCCGTTCCAGGCGGAGGGCAAGAAAGGAGCCTGTCTGGACGGAGAAGAGCAGGATGCAGGGCTGCCGGACGAGCCGCGCTTCCACATGGAGAAGGACATCAGTGTGGAGAGTCTGGTCATGGGCATCATAGAGACAGCGTTCAGACAGATGGTGAGCACTGTGTGGGATTAGATTAATGTGTAATGTATAGAGATTTGTTTTCTTTTTCTTTTTAATATTTTTGGAGTTGCTACTAGTTTGGGTTTGATGTTGTGCTAGTATAGAGGTGTTTATACTATCAAAAAAATTATTTTTTTGCTCGTTCAAACTACTTATTTGTATAATAAGCTGAATCAACACAATTTTTGAGATTTCATTTGGACAACTTATTTTTTATGTTCAATCCACATACAGTTTTTAAAAGTGTTTAGTTAGCTATATCGATTTATGTTGAGACAGCATGTTATGAATTGTGTGGAACCCTGCATTTTTTACAGTGTATGACTAATTTTTACAAATAAAATTGTTAAGTAATAACTGCAATAATAAATGATTAATAAATAAAGCTAAAAAGAAACATTTATAATCACAGCTTAATCATTTTATATAATAAAGACTGTTAATTATAATGCTTTTGCTTACAAAAATTAAACAGGAACTGATTTGAATAAATAAACATAAAATATTACAAATTTAAGAAGAATCAATATAAATGAAATAACACTAAATTAGTAAATAATAAATAAATGTAAAAAACATAAGATAAAATCCAAAACAACTTAATATCCAATATTTTTATGTTATTTTAGGCCAATTCAAAATGTAAATTTTTTTAGTAAATTAAACCAAATTAAATTAAAATGAATGAATGAATCTATGATTGAATGAAAGCAGTCAAACACAAATTAGATTCAAATAAGTAATACAATTACATGAAAAAAAAAAGTAAAATGTAAAAAATATATAATAAACAGAAAAAAGTAATAATGCCAACTTAATACCAAATAATTGTTTAAATAATATTTTAAATCATCTCATAATTCTACAATTTTGCAGTATTTGTTTTTACCAAGAACTAGCATATTGCATATTTTGGGGTCAGTGGAAAGTGAAATTTTATGTATATTAAATGTATATATGTATTATATCTGTATTCATTGACACTTTTTAAGCTGTTTTTTTTTTAAATACAGTTTCTGAAATAAAAATGTCATATTATGTATTATTACTTTAATTTATAAATTTATTCTGGGATATATATATATATATATATATATATATATATATATATATATATATATATATATATATATATATATATATATATATATATTAAAGTTTATAATTTATTATATTTATTATTTTATTATTTTATTTTTTAAATTCATTAAAAAATTGATACATTTTTTGTTAGTTTGTTATGAAAATTATACGATTTGTATTGATCGTTATTGTTTAACCAATAAGATATTGAATTTTTATTATAAATCCAATATTGAACAAAAAGTGCTTCCAGTTAATGCGTCACTGCTCTTTAGATAAGGGATTCATAAAGATAAACCACAAAATCAAAAACTGTTTTTTAATTTTAATTTTTTATTATTTTAATCTGAAATGGACTGGAGAGTAGAGAGTATTGACAGGAAATTTTAGGGAGCAAAGAGAGAGGGGAAGGATTGGGAAAGGACTGCAAGCTAGGAATTTAACACAATTCACAGTGAGCATCTCTGTGTTAACCTTTGCACTTAATCTCTACGCTATTGGCATCGACAAACATGGAATTTTTAGCCATAGAATCCAAATGCTTTTGTGATTTAGCTGACTGCTGTGCAGACACATGCAAACATCTTGCGAATCCTGAGTCTGTGTTGTTCATCTCTACAGGATGACCTAATAGAGAAGGAGAAAGAGTCTTACAGCATCTCCGGTGGCTGTTGTGCCTTGGTTGCAATCCACTTGATGGGGAAACTCTACGTAGCAAATGCTGGAGACAGCAGGTAAGAGCCTTTAAAAGATTACAATTCATGAAGACGTCACAATTTGGGCCTGCTTTTATGTTTCAGATAACAATAAAACCACTAAATATTGATGAAACAAAGTTCTAATAGTGTAATGGATATACAGTAGTTATGTCAAAGTAAAGCTTAAAAGTCTTATAGACATATATACAAGAACAATAGATTTTATCCATTCTAAATTATTTAAAATGTCTTGCTGCCAAATGGGTAAATCCCATAATGGTTGGATAGATGGTGGCAAAGTAAAATAAAAATATTGATATTAATATCTTGGGGCTGCACTGTGATCTTTAATTTGAGTTTTTTAACAATAGTCATCAAATGATTCTTCAATTCACCTTTATTTCTATAGCACTTTTACAATGTAGATTGTGTCAAAGCAGCTTCACATAGAAGATTATAGTCAATTCAAAACCATGCAACGTAGTTTGGGATCTGCAGAGGCGAGGAAAAAAATTCACCAGTTGGCCAAAGTGAAGAATTAAACAACCTTGAGAGAAACCAGGCTCAGTTGGGCATGATCATTTCTCCTATGGCCAAACGTCTTGTGCAGAGCTGCAGTCTATGCGCCGGAGGCTTGAGAAGCTCAAGGACAGCGGGACTCGTCTGTCCCTGGAGCGTCACACAAGTCAGTCTAATGCTCTCCACTCCTCCAAGACCACCACAGCAGCTGCTCAGGATACGGCCTGGTCCAGGATTATGGAAACCCTGGGATCATCTCGTCGCTGGTCTTGAATCACATCAGTGCCACTGCATAGTCTCTGGGGGTCTTGGAATGAGTATCCTCAGGTGGAAATAGAGAATAAAGAGAATGATTAGCGTAGCTGCTGTTCATAGTGTATATAAACGACATGCAAATTCTGCGTAGAGCACATTTATGCGTCATACCGTTATGTGATGCACTGAGTGTATGCTTTACTAAAAAGAATCTAGAATCTAGTTTTGAACTACGAGAGTGTGTCTGAGCCTCGAACATTATCAGGAAGGCTATTCCAGAGTTTAGGAGCCATAAATAAGCCTTTACTCGACTTTGCTATTCTAGGTACTACCAGACGTCCTGAGATTTGGGATCTTAAAGAGCGGTTTTGAGTTTTGAGATCTTAAAGTTGGATTGTAGTGAGACAGAAGCTTGGTTAGATAAACAGGAGCTAGATTATTTAAAGCTTTTTTAGGTAAGAAGCAATATTTTAAAATCAATACGAAACTTAACAGGCAGCCAGTGTAAGGAGGATAAAATTGGGGTGATATGATTATATTTTTTAGACCTGATTCTTGTTCTAAATATACCGGACAAGATTTTATGCTATATTTACATTGTTTCACAATTGATTCCCAAATTAGTTCTATTCACATTGATCTTTCCACACAGAGCCATAATTGTCCGCAACAGTGAGGTCATCCCCATGTCCACTGAATTCACTCCAGAAAGCGAAAGACAGCGACTGCAGTACCTGGTGAGTCACTTTAGGTTATTATTACCACAGTATCATTCCCATTGGGCAGCATGGTGGCTCAGTGGTTTGAGTTCCAACTGCTTTGAGTCCCGACCGGGCTAGTTGACGTTTCTATGTGGAGTTTGCATGTTCTCCCCATGTTTGTGTGGGTTTCCTCCGGGTGCTCCGGTTTCCCCACAGTCCAAAGACATGTGCTATAGGTGAATTGAATAAACAAAATAATCTGTAGTGTATGAGTGTGTGTGTGAATGTGAGAGTGTATGGGTGTTTCCCAGTACTGGAAGGGCATTCGCTGCGTAAAACATATGCTGGAATGGTTGGCGGTTCATTCTGCTGTGGCAACCCCTGATATATAAGAGACTAATCTGAAGGGAAATGAATGAATGATTCCTGTTTTATTTTTTGTAGCTTCATTGGATGCTCTGTTCATTCAATTATCATCTCAGATTTCTGTTATTGGTCTTCAACTCTGTAACATTTCCCTCATATTTGTGCTGTTTTTGTCTAGGGCTTCCTCAAACCAGAGCTGCTTGGGAATGAGTTTACACATATTGAATTCCCCAGACGAATCCAACACAAGGAACTCGGCAAGAAGATGCTCTTCAGAGACCACACCATGACTGGCTGGTGATTATTACGTTATTTTATGTTTTGATTATTTATTATTATTTTATGTTATGATAGGTTTCTGTCACTGGTTGCATTTATATGTATATTTAGATTCACTCACTGGCCACTTTATTAGGTACACCTGTCCAACTGCCCTTTAATGCAAATTTCTAATCAGCCAATCACATGGCAGCAACTCAATACATTTAGGCATGTAGACATGGTCAAGATGATCTGCTGCAGTTTAAACCGAGCATCAGAATGGAGAAGAAAAGGGATTAAAGTGAAATTTCAATGTGTCATGGCTGTTGGTGCCAGATGGGCTGGTCTGAGTATTTTAGAAAAATCTACTGGGATCTACTGAGATTTTCACGCACAACCATTTCTAGTGTTTACAGAGATTTATCTGAAAAGAGAAAATATCCAGTGAGTGGCAGTTCTGTGAATGGCCAGACTGGTTGGAGCTGATAAAAAAGGCAGCAATAACTCAAATAACCACTTGTTACAACCAAGTTATGCAGAAGAGCATCTCTGAACACACAACACGTACAACCTTGAGGCAGATGTGCTACAGCAGCAGAAGACCACACCGGCTGCCACTCCTGTCAGCTAAGAACAGGAAACTGAGGCTAAAATTCGTACAGGCTCACCAAAATTGGACAATAAAACATTTGAAAAATGTTGCCTGGTCTGATGAGTCTCCATTTCTGCTATGACATTCTGATGGTAGGGTCAGAATTTGGCATCAACAATATGAAAGCATGGGTCCATCCTGCCTTATATCACTAGTTCAGGCTGGTGGTAGTGTAATGGTGGTGGGGGATAGTTTCTTGGCACACTGTGGACCTATTAATACCAATTGAGCATCGTGTCAATGCCACAGCCTACCTGAGTATTGTTGCTGACCATGTCCATCCCTTTATGACCACAGTGTTCCCATTTTCTGATGGCTACTTCCAGCAGGATAATGTGCCATATAAAATAACACAAATCATCTCAGACTGGTTTCTTGAACATGACGATAAGTTCACTGTACTCAAATGGCCTCCACAGTCCCAAGTTCTCAATTTAATAAAGCACATTTGCGATGTGGTGGAATGGGAGATTCGCATCATGAATGTGCAGTCAACAAATCTTCAGCAATATAAATCAAAATCTCTGAGAAAATTTGCAGTACCTTGTTAAATCTATGCCATGAAGGATAAAAGCAGTTATTTAGGAAAAACGGGGTCCAAGCCGGTACTAGTCAGGTGTACCTAATAAAGTGTCCGGTGAGTGTTTATTTACAATTTATTTGATTCCTTCAAGCAACTAATTCATGCAGCAATGATCTAAACAGCACTTCAACTGATTCATTCAACACAGATTCATTCAGGATAAAAAAATGTCACGTTTGCACTTGTGGTACAAATATTTAGTGCAACCCATTCATTAAATTAAATTGCCACCCTAATATCTAAAATGCCACCCTAATTTAAGAGCCGGCGGCTCGAAACGTTACACAGTCTGAGTCAGCCTTTTTAATTTAATTTAATAAATTTGTATTTATGGAGCCTTGGTGTTGCCGCCTTTGATTTACATTTGATTGTCACCCTAATATCTGAAACATAACCATTGTATATTATCATTTCAGGGCATATAAGACAATTATAGAAGACGACCTCAAGTTCCCGTTGATTTATGGGGAAGGGAAAAAGGTAAGTGAATGTTTCTGCTTATTTATATCCAACTGTTTCACTTCAAAAGGTCCAGGCTCTGTGGAAGGATTTTATTTTAAGCTGCGTAGCAAACATTTGTTACAGACCACACATATAATTTAATGAAGATGTCTGGTTTTCTCCCTTTTCACAGCTATTTATTACAAAGCCGAAATAGTCAGGTGTTGCAAATGGGAATTGCTCAAATGTTCTGCCAGTTGTAGGGCTGAATAATGTCTCGTTTTATAAAGGTTGAATGAATAAAATAAAAAACGATGGCTGTATTGGTACATTAAGCTCTGGCTATGAGTGTGTTTGTGTGCATTTGTGTTTTAGGCTCGTGTCATGGCTACTATTGGAGTGACGCGTGGTTTAGGAGATCACGACCTGAAAGTGTACAACTCCAACATTTATATCAAACCCTTCCTGTCCTGCTGTCCAGAAGTGAGTATAGTGATCAACATTTATTAGAGAAGGAACAGTACACAGGAAAAAGTTATGGATTGAGACATACAGTGGGGGAAACATGTCATGTTTTTATCGGGAAAAACTATTCTAAAGGAGCTGTTGAGATTAAATTAAACCAGATTTTGGTAAAAACTCAAACAATACAAACATAAAAATATAACAAAACAAAAAATTGGGGAAAATTTGTCATGTGTAATAACAATGAAATGACACCAAGAGAAAGATAAACGACTTCTTTGTTGATGGCAGCTTAATGTCGCCTCTCATATGGAGAATGAAGTCACATGCATTGCTCAGGTGTGAGTTTTTTTTAGACATCAACAGTGTAAAAATCTTAATGGTTCTGTGGGTTTCGTCTATCAAATCTGAGCTTTATTTTGTATATTTTATTTGTGATAAATGGCTGGGCCATTCTACAGCTTTTTTATTGAGAGATTTTCTTCAAACTATTTGAGTGTTTCTTTGGCTGTTTTGGATCACTGTCTTGCTGAAATGTCCACCCTGGTTTAATCTTCATCATCCTGCTAATGTAGATGTTGAACTGAAGCAGCTGATATTAATTTACACTGATGAAGGGCAGAGAGTTGCTGAAGAACTGCTGAGAGATTTAACCTGCTGTCTGGGCTTTCACTGCCGAACTAAACCTCCCTTTCTTAATGTGTTCAATACTTTTTTCCTGTGTCATTTAATTTTATTAAGCATAACTTTATTTGTAAGCTTATTAATATTGTTTTCTTTGCATATATGGATTTCTTTGGTTGTTTTTAGCATCTGGTCAATTTCAAGCCAAGTCATGAGCACCTTAAGATATATGTTTTCTGAGAAAAGTGGTGACGTGTTCATTATTTCCCCCGAAAAACAAAGAATAAAAATGCTTATTTTTAATTATTAAAAAAGTGGTGTACTGAATAAATTGTGGTCCTGTGTTTAAATAAATTCATTTATAAACTGTAGTAAATATCAGTAATTGAGCAGTTTTCCGTATTTTGATTCAAGTTTTTATTTTTCATTTTTCCTCGATTATTCATGCTTTTTAATTATATTACATATTTTTATTATAATTATATTTAATTATATTATGCTATACTGTCTGAGTTAGTGTTATAAATTATAGTACAAAAACCTTGTAATAAACTGCCAGTACTTTTTCTGTTATTTTTCAGACTTATTTCTCTATAAATTATTTCTTATCAATTATATTATTTCAAACTACTAAAATGTCAAAAAAAGTTACTCTGTTAAACTGTATAGTATTTAATTATAACATCAAAAGAGGAAAGAACATAGATCGACATCCCTTAATGCAATTCACAACCACTTGTAAATCACAAAATACAGAAACTGTTAACAGATATTTTTACAGTGTATTTTATAAGTTATATTTTAGTTAAGTTAAATTTAAGTATAGTTAAGTTATATTGAGTATAATTTATATAATTTACATTTTTTCTAAGGGTAAATAAAGGTGTAAAAACCGAAAACCAAGGCTATAATTAAAGAAATGTACTATTAAAGCCTAAAATTAATTCAATAAAAAAAACAAAGGCAATGTTTTGTGATTATTTAATATCAACACTATCAAATAATTCTTAAGCAAATGTATAATTGCACATAAGGCATTAGACTAGTGTCTAAATCTAATAATAAAAAATATGATTCTACTCTAATTCGTGTTTGAAATATAACAAAATACTGAGTGGATTTCATAACAGTGCTCAACATATACATGAATGAGTACAGCCCATTTTGAAAATAATTATTTCTATTTTAAAAATATAAATATATTTTGGTGCATTTAAACAAAACTGATTTATTAAACAGATATATTTATCAAAATAATATTTTAGTCACTGAACATCTTTAGAAATTGTAAGATAATACAATTAAAATCATGCAAAATATTGGGAAAAAAATTATAAACTGCAAAATTTCAACTAAATGTAAGCATTTTTTGTTTCTCTTGATTTTTCCTCTTTTTTGAAATTTGTATTTAATATTTTTCTATAACATAAATTTGAGTGTACTAGTTTTTGGATAGTTATGGCAAGTTATTTTGTGAGATTAGCTCCAGATTTGGCTTCAGTACTGACTAATCTAGTGTACATGCACAAATATAATTTACACTCATGAAAATGTTAAATCTGTATCATGTTCTTATCCTTCTAGGTTAAGGTGTACAACATCTCTGAGCACAAACACGGGTCTGATGATGTCCTGGTCATGGGTAGTGATGGACTGTGGGACGTTACAGCTGATAGAGATGTTGCTGACGCAGTATCAACTTTCCTGTCCAGCCGTGAGCCCAATGATCCTTTAAGGTAAACACTTACTTTGTTATTGCATTATTAAAAAAAAAAAAAAAGCAGTTTTGTATTGTTGAACAAATGTGATTTATTCCTGTGATATCAGCGATAAGCTTTCAGAATCAATAATCCATTCATCAGCGTCACATGATCTTGGAAATCATTAGTATATTCAGTTCAGTTCAGTTCATCATTATTTCTATACCGTTTTTTTTTTTTTTTACTATCTATATTTTGTCATAGCAGCTTAATCGATTAAGATGTAGTAAAGTGAACCGACTTCAGTTTTTACAGCAGAATTTCAGTTTAGTTTTGTTTAGTGTAATGTAAATATCACTTCTGAAAGTCAAAACACTGAAAAGCAACTCCATCAATGCGCAGCTCAACCAGTCTCAGGTTGTATTATCTGATTTGATTTGACGATTTCTGGTTATTATCATTCATAAATTACCATTCAAAAATACCATTAAAATAAATGTTAACGATTTTTTTTTTGCTATAAAAAAACTGTATAATATAATATAGCTTCATTTTCATATATTTTTATTACATCTATAATGTAAAAAAAACATTAAATTTTTTCAAAAATCTTTAAAAGTAAAATATGAATTTTCTGCAGCAAAGTGTGAATCAGCACAATCATTTTCACGATTTATAAGAATGATGAATACTAATAGAGTATTAATATGTAATAATAATAAATCATAAGAAAAGTTGGTAACACTTTACAATAAGGTTCATTAGTTAATGCATTTACTAACATGTACTAATCATGAACAACACATGTGCAGCATTTATTAATCATAATTGAACATTTACTAATGCATTATTAACGTCCAAGTCCATGCTTGTTAACATTAGTTAATGCACCATGAGTTAACATGAACTAACAATGAACTACTGTATTTTCATTAACTAACGTTAACTAACATGAACAAATACAGTAGTAAATGTTTTGTTCATTGTTTGTTCATGTTAGTAAATGCATTAATTAACATTAACTAATGAACCTTATTGTAAAGTGTGACCGAAAAGTTATAGGAGCACATGGGAATATTTCTGAAGGATCATGTCATACTTTTTCAAAACTCATTAAAATAGTAATTATGAAAATTCAGCTTTGAGTTTGTTATATACAGTTAAAGTCAGAATTATTAGCCCCTTTGAATTATTAGTGCCTCTGTTTATTTGTTCCCTTATTTCTGTTTAACAGAGAGCAGATTTTTCAACACATTTCTAAACATAATAGTTTTAATAACTCATCTCTAATAACTGATTTATTTTATCTTTGTCATGATGATAGTAAATAACATTTTACTAGATATTTTTCAACAATTCTATAAAGCCTAAAGGGATATTTAAAGGCTTAACTAGGTTAATTAGGTTAGCTAGGCAGGTTAGGGTAATTAGGCAAGTTATTGTATAATGGTGGTTTTGAATCAGACCACACTGCTGGGGTTTTTTCTCTGTATTTTTTTCTTCTTTTTTTGTGTGTTTTCCTCCTTAAAAACTGTAAATTGTTTATGTTTTACTTATTACTTTGTATGCAACTCATTACTTTGTATTTTTCATTCTGAAAAAAAAATCCAAGTAAAAAACAAAACAAAACAAAACAAAACATAGCTGTCACTTTAGGTCAATTTAATGCATGTTTCCTCAATAAAAGCAATAATTCATTTCAAAATGTAAACAATGAGGACAGTTCTGAAAGATAAAAAGCAGATTATTCTGGTGTTAAATCAGGTGTGCTTTAGCACTCTCACCAGCAGATGTCACTACACAGTTTATCAACACAACATCATGTAGGATTTTAATACTATTGTTTATATTACCTGTATATTTATCTTTTGTTTTACTCAAAAAAAAAAAGATTTGCAGTTTGTTCAAACTACTTAAATAAAATATCACACAATTCTTCTAATCACAAAGTTTTTTGGGGGGATGGGAGACTTAATTGTTTTTATATACTAAAATTTGTAGAAACTAATAAGTTTACTTCATAAGTATTAGCACCACTTGATTAAATTCAAGATCTGTGAGGAGATGATGCCAACCATCGAAGACTTTGAGGACAAAACACATACACTTAATACACAAATACACTTTATTAAACACACACACAAAGACGTCACCTATATATTATATAACTGCAGGTTAACTATGTTTATAGGGTTCAGAAGTCAGAATTATTAGCCCTTCTGAATTATTAACCCCTCTCCATATTTTTTCCCCAAATTTCTGTTTACCAGAAAGAAGACATTTCTAAACACAATACTTTTAATAACTCATTGTACTTTGTACTCATTGTAAAACAGTGGTTTGTTCTGTAGACAATCGAAAACAAATATAGCTTAAGGGGCCTAATAATATTGACCTTAAAATGCTTTCTAAAAAATTCAAAACTGCTATTATCTTAGCCGAAATACAACCAATAAGACTTTCTCCAGAAGAAAAATTATTATAGGGAATACTTTGAAAAATTCCTTGTTCCATTAAACATCATTTGGTAAATATTTTTAAAAAAAAAAACTTTTGCAGGAGTGCTAATAATTTTTACTTCAACTTTATATATCAACTTTAACTTAAATTCATTAGCTAAAGTGATTAGTAACTAACAAATTTAGGCTAACTAATAACCTCAACTTTTCCGAGTTTGATTGTGTTGTATATACCTGTCAACCCTCCCCTTTTTCCCTGGATTCTCCTGTATTTTACAATTCTATCCCGCTATCATCCCGTAAAGGTATTTTCCTATATTTCTCCCGTATTTTCATTCAAGGAGTGGAAATAAACATTAGAGAGCCAATTCTCCCTTTACGCAACCCTTACCGCCGAAGGGGCCGCCCCTCGCTCTTAAACCTGAATTTGTTCATTTTATTTAGGCATAAAAACACTTTGAAATAAATAAAAAACTATGCAATCCTCCAAACAATTCATGTAAGCCGTGCATGACTGTCAAACGAACTCCATATTGATAAATAGATGCTGTTTCCCCAAAAGTATTCTCTACATGCGATTAGAAGCGGAGCAAAAGAGAAAACTTTGGGTTTTGGTTGCGTGTTTGAACAGACATATAAACATAATAATGTAATCAGGGGCGTAGGAACTGGGGGAGATGGGGGATACGTCCCCCTCACTTTTAGAGACAGATCATTTAGGTTCAGGAGATTAATCAAGTGATTAATAATTTCACACAGCCACCCACACCCCCCACCTCCATCCCCCCAAACAACATTTGTCTTTTACGCCTCTGAATGTAATCATGTTGATCTTGGTGGGTTATCTTTTAAACACAACAAATGTAGTCCTCAATTAGCATAAGCAGTTAGGAAAGCAATTGATTTCATTAAAGATCTGTGCATTTTTAACACTACAACCGCCGGAGGTCACTGTATTCCTAAAATCGCCAGTGCGGGTAAATTTTATCCAGCACAAATTTTGTTTAGAAATTGCCAAAAAAACAAACATAGTATTTTACTGTTTTTCGCCACTGTTAACAAAAAGTGTCTAGACTCATGAAATGATTATTTCAGGATAACAAGACTATTTTAGGTGTAGGTTATGAGTAGGTTAAAATATAAATAAATTTGAGCCCTCATACTTTGATGCATAACTTATTTCTCCAGACTCTGCATCATTCATTGCATTTTGTGTTTTTATAACTCTACAAATCTCCTTCTTTTAGTCACTGTGACTTTATTAATTTAATTCAGATTTATAGATTTATTTATAATTTATAGATTAATTCAGTGAGTAAAAACTGGCAGTAAAAGGTGAGTAATTTCAAACATAAGAGGTGCATAAATAAAAGCATTTTTTATGGTGGGTAAATTTGACCCACGCTGGCGCTTATTGGTATAAATGTCCCACTTTTTATTTTAAATTTATCTAAACAGTTTTTAAATCTGGGAATTGTAAATAAGCCAATTTTAGTAAAAGCCAATGACTGGGAGGCTTGAATGTTTTATTGAAGGTCTGTTATGTACATTTCATTAACAGTGATGGGTAAAATTGACCCCCATTGCGGTTCTAGTGTTAAAGTGACGCCTCTGTTATTTAATGTGATCAAATGAAAAATCTAAATGAGAGATTCATTCGCTGCTCTTTAATCAAAATGTTGAAATTATACAGTGAGGAAAAGGTTCATGAGAATTGATAGCTTGATTGAATTTCTGTATACTAGCTCTTAATTTGAATAGGCTAAACTGTTAAATTAAATAGCAGCTTTTTCTAATGTACACTATTTATTATATCCTTTGTAAATAATAATAATAATAATTAAACATATTACTGATCTTTTCAACAATTTATTTACAACGAAACAGCTCCAGACAAACATATTTAGTAATATGGGGAATTTTTTATTTATTTTTTTGGTGGGGTTGGGGGGTGGTGTTATCCCTTATTTTCACAACCCATTGTTCACAGGTATGGTTGTAATAATGTGAACCTTTTGTAAAGCAGCTTTGAAACAATAACTATTTCGAAAAGTGCTATACAAATAAACTTGTAGTGAATTGAAGTATGGTAATTTTCAGTATTTTTGCATTGACTGTTTTTAAAGGTACACTCTAGCAGCACAAGACCTTCTGATGCGCTCGCGGGGTGTGCTGAAGGAGCGAGGCTGGCGGCTGCCCAATGAGAGACTCGGCTCAGGCGATGACATCACCGTGTTTGTCATCCCATTGGCCGGCCCAGAGTTAGAAACATGACCAGGTCGGTCCGCCTTCACTGGACAAGCACACCAGGACACGTCCCTGGCTCCATCCCAGAGAAAGGGCTAGGAAAAACCAAGAAAAATACATCTTCAATCCGTCAGAAAACTCGGGACACGAGAGAGACTTTAAACGCAAACTTCCCCTCGTCCTCCTTACTTCTCCTCCGAGTAAATATCATCAAGATGTGAGGTGACATTATCAAAGTGCCATTCCTCTCGCTCTCCATCTCCTTTCTGATTTGTCGAACGCAGCCTCTGCAAAGTCAGTACGGGACGGGAGGGAAACGTTTGAGTATTCTTTAACATCCGTGGGCCGTTTGAATCTGAATCTCAGTGTGGCACTGGAATACTGCTTAATAAAAATAAAATCATAGCCCTGACGGCGAGGGAAATAAAAACCGAAGCACTTTATATGTAGCAGAATTCATCGGAGCTGTAATTTAAACCGCTAATTATATTTCTGAACTGTTTTGTGAGGGACTGTCCAAAGAAGGTTTAAGGTTTTCTATAGCAAAATGCAATCAGAAACAATGATGGGCATTTGCTGTGAATGCAAAGGGGTTTTATTTGTTCTTTTCAGCTGTTTTGGTTTTATGGAAGCAATGCAAATGCCGATATTCTTGGACTGTACAATATATAAAACTACTCATTTTTCTCTACATCTCCAGGAAGACAGTTTTTCACTCTGAATAAAATGGGTTGGGTAAAGTTGAGTAAAATATGGACAAATTGAGTGGCTGGATTTTTACATTTCATTAAAAAGAATAACCCGGCCATTTAGTTTGTTCATATTTTACACATCGTTTTGGAGTGTACAAATAACCTATATTATATTTCCAATTTGTTCTGACCGTTCAAGGAATGTTTCCATTGGTTTTCTTAACAACAGTAACATGACAAGATAATCATTTGCTGTGAATGCAGTTTTTTTGTTTGTTAATTTCAGCTGTTTTGGTTCTATTGAAGCAATGCAAATGTCGATATTCTTGAAATATACAATATATAAAACTACTCCTTTTTCTCTTCTCCTCCAGAAAAACGTTTTCACTCTGGAAAAAAATGGGTTGTGTAAAAAATATGCACAAACCCAATGGTTGGATTTAAATTTTTCATTTAAAAGATGAACCCATCTACAGAGTTTGTTCATATTTGACACATTTGTTTTTGGACTGTATAAATAACTTAAGACATGTACACTCAAAAAATGCTGTTAAAACAACCCAGGCTCATTTTGGATACATACCCTGTTATACATTTTTGGAGAGCGCAAAATATGTCCCAGTAGATACTTTTTTGCAGTTTTTTTCCCCACTAATCCACCAGAGGCCCCTGTTAACTTGGTGACTGACTGACCAAACAAATGAACCCCATCCTTAAACCCAACTGATAGTGTTTTCAAAAGCACTGATTGACCCGCTCACCCCTTTTCCTAAACTGACAGTGTTTTCTAAAGCAGTCTAGAAAGAGGCAAGCCCTCATTTTTACCATGTTTTTTGATTTTACTACGTTCTCACCCTGTTATTTACTTGTTTATTTAATTTTAATTATTTTTTTTTTTTTTACCTGCTTTCTGGAACTGTTCTTCCCCGCAATCAAACCCCATAATTACGGTCACTCCACTCTGCATCTCAAATCCTCAGACGAACGCGGTGAGCCACTGGGGAAACTGGTAACAGTGTCCACCTTGAGGTGAACGATCAGCTGATAGGACTTAAAGGAACAGAAGCCGTCAGCGGCATCATACCGCCCCGTAGCGTTCATTTTAAAGATGAAATGTTGCCATACGTACTTTTAGCTATATAATTTGCTCTCTCCAGAAATGTATACAGGGGTACATATTCACAATGAGCTTGTGTTGCAACCAAAAAAAAGCTAAAACAACACAATTCTTGATTTTTTTGTGGTGGACAACTTAATTATTTTAATCCACATAGATTTGTAAAAACTAATAATTTTACATAATTCCCTGATGTTGTCCCAACACAAATCCATTGTGTGGAACCCAGCATTTTTACAGTGTGATACAGTGTAAGTCATTGACATTTCAAGGTTTTCAATACCCAACCATACTGACAGTTGTAGATGCTAACCGTAGCTGTTTATTTTGCTGTATATAAAATTTAATATGGTCTGAAATCTGTCGTTAAACAATCTCAAATCCAACAACCAGTTAGATCCTATATTATAATTCTAAAAATATTATGTTAGATATTAAAGAATATGTCTATTGACAGTTTTTAAGCTTCTTCTCCAAATTGCAGTGAACAAACAGCAACATGAAATGATTTAAGATTTTTTTGTTGTTGTTTTTGTTAATTTCAGCAGTTTTGCTTTGATGAAAGCAATGCATTGGTCTATATTCTTAAACTGTACAATATATAACTATTTATTTCTCCTACACCTCCAGAAAGCCATGTAGATTGTACAAAAAGTAGGTTGGGTAAAATATGAATGATTTTTATTTTTAAAAATTACAGGCTCATTCTGATTATGTACCCCTATTTAAGTTTCTGGAGAGGGCCAAATATGTCTCTAGAGTTATGCTAGAGATATGCTTTGTTTTGTTTGTTTTTTTTGTTGTTTTTTTGCAGTTTTTGTTTTCACGAATCCGCCAGAGGCCACTGTGTACTCTTGTGATTTCAAATTTCTCTTCCAAGTGCCATTTGCGCGTGCTGTTCTCACGTAAATCCACCAGAGGCCGCTGTTGACTGACTGAATGACTTAATGATCTACCGATACCCCAGCCCCTCCTCTAAACCCAACCAATTCTGTTTTAAAAAGCAATCCAAAAAAAAAAAAACCCTCGCAGCAGCCTGATCTTTACCACTTTTTCAAATTTTACCGTATTCTCACCCATTTATTTACTTGTTTGTTTTATTTTTTGCCTTTTTTTTTCATCTCACCTGCTTTCCAGATAAGACTCGAACCCCATCATCACGGTCAACCCCATCATCTCTGCATCTCAAATCCTCCAACATACGCAATGAGCCACTGGACAAACTGGTAATATTGGAAAAGCGCGAAAAAGGAACAGCATCCAATCGCCACAAATCATTCGTTTTAAAGATGAAATGCAGCCTTGCGTTCCTGTGGCTAAATAATTTGTGATCTCTAAAAGTGTATATAGGGCTACATTTTCAGAATGAGCCAATGCTGTTTATTTTGCTGAAGAGTAAATTACATTTGTGTGGGTAAAGAATCTCAAATCCAACAACCAGATAGATCCTATAACTCTCAACTGCCCTCGCAGTGCAAAGAATGTTTCAGTTCTTTCAGTTTAAGGTTTTCTATAGCTAATTGCAATCAACAACAACAACAAGAAACAGATAATGGGCATTTGCTGTGAATGCAGAGCTTTTTTTGTTAGTTCATTTCAGCGGTTTTGCTCTCAAACCTGCGTTCTTTTACATGAAAGCAATGCAAATGTTTATATTCTGGAATTATACCATGTAGAACTACTCATTTTTTTATCCATACGCCTCCAGAAAGCCATGTACAAATAACCTAAATCATCAACTACAGTGTAAGTCATCGACATTCACCAGGCTTTCAACACCCAACTGAACTGATTGCTTGAGCTGCTGTTGATAAAACTAGATTGGGTCTGAAATATTTGGGTAAAGAATCTCAAATCCAACAACCAGTTAGATCCTATTCTCTCAATTACCCTGATAGTCCAAAGATCGTTTCAGTTGGCGGAGTTTAAGGTGTTCTTTAGCTAATTGCAATCAACAAGAAACAAATGATGGGCATTTGCTGTGAATGCAGATATTTATTTGCTTGTTCGTTTTATCGGTTTGGATCCCAAACCTGCTTTATTTTACATGAAAGCAATGCAAATGTTTATATTCTGGAATTATATCATGTAGAACTACTCAATTTCCATCCATACGCCTCCAGAAAGCCATGTACAAATAAACCTAAATCATCTAGTACAGTGTAAGTCATTGACATTCACCAGGCTTTCAACGCCCAACCGAACTGATTGCTTGAGCTGCTGTAGATTTGTAACCGTAGCTGTTTATTTTGCTGTAGATAAAACCCAATTTGGTCTGAATCCTTGTGGGTTAAGAATCTCGACATCCATTTAGATTCAAACCTGGGCTTAGTTTCATCGGTTGTCAATCTCTCTTTTTTTTTTTTGTACACCTTGAATGTACCTTATTTCCTTTACTTGATGTCAGTATTGTGTCAGTGTCGTATATAGTACATATAAATATATTGATTTCTGCCTTTCGAATGATTATTCATTGTCAAAGGATTACTCTTTGGAGACGATGTGACTAATTCTAAATAAATATATCCTTTTTATAGTGGTTGTGTTGTGTTATTTTTGTTCTATGTTAAAGGTCACGTGAAGTGCTTTGGAATGAGTATTTTTATTCAATGTTTGATGAAATCTCAACCGAGACACGAAGAGAGGGTGGGTCATAGTTCCCATTTTTAAAACAGCCAATGGTGTTTTGTTTTATCACAGCTCTGCCAGTGAGAGTCGTTGAGCTCAAAGGCATCTTCGTTCACAATTACTCCCCGTACAAAGTAAAGCAATTAAACAACGTAAGCATTTTAGTAATGAATAAATCTTTTTTTAAATTTTTTTTTATAAGAATTGGCATGAAAAAGATATTATCACCATGATTTTCTTGATCCACAAAGGAACTTCTATTCATACGGGGATTTCATTTTTAAATATAATTTCCCTGTTATTTATAAAAAAATTCATACTGTGATTAGGGCCATACCTAATGGCCTTGCTCAATTAATAAAGTGCCACCTCATTTAAAGTGATATTTAAAAAAGAATCAAAGTTTTTAGTTGAAGACAAATGCATTTACGACATAATAAAAATATAAGAAATGTGTTTCAGTCAAAAAGAAGGGTCACGCCGAGGGGGAAATTTCTTTGGAATTCTCTAATAGATAAAATTAATTGGAAAAAAGCTTGGGTCTGTCCTTACAAATTTTGTGTTCCCAACAAACTTAAAGAATTACATTTAAAAGTGTTACACATTATTTACCCCACAAATGAGATTGTATGTAAATTCGGAAATCCTTATTCAAATTGTGTCTTCTGTAACTCAAGCATTGAATCCATTGATCATCTTTTCGTCAAATGCCCTCATGTTAAAGGGTTTTGGTCTGATTTATCCGTCTTTTTTACATCAAAATGTACGTTTAACATCCATTTTTCCATATGTGATAAAATTTGTTACTTTGCTCTTGACAAACAACATGGAATTTATAGGCAATTTATTTATTTTATTGGGTAAATATTATATTCACAAATGTACATTTTCTTTATCATCACCTTAGTTGCAGAATTTGCTTTGTGACTTAAATTGTTTAGTTACTACTTAACAAAATGTTTACAGCAAAACAAAATTCATAAAGACTTTGTAAATATTATTATTTGATACTATAATACTATTATTTGATAGTTTATTTTTGTACCCTCTTCTTTTATTATCTTCTTTTATTATGTTTTATTATTATTATAAATTTTTCTTGTGTAATACTTGATATCATCCATTGTTATGGTTAAAATGATTGTGTTGTTAAAACAGAATTAAAAAAATTTAAAAATAAAATTTAAAAAAAAAAGAGTTCAAAGGCATCAACTGAAATCCAAATAAGAAGCATCTTAAAGGGGGCGGGGCTTGTCAGATACTTGAGATCATTTGTTTGTTTGTGATTTGATAAGAAACTGAAGTATGAGGTGGCGTGAATAAAACAGTTGAAACATTTAGGTGGCAAAATACAAGCTTTACATGTTTACATCAGCTTTATTTCTTCCAAACGCGAATTTTGTCACTGTTTTGGAGCACACTAGCTTTTAGATATCTTAAAAGCTAACAATACTGAGACTAAAATTTAAAAGGCTTATTTTAATTTAATGAGACCTTTAATTTGCTCTATTGTGCATGAGAAATGAGCTGGTTTATGATGCTTTTGTGCTACAACAGAAGCCTGCTGTTTAAAGCAATTATAGTAATTAACATTATAACGACTAATGATTATAATATGTTGTTCTATATAAATCACTGCTAGTATAGTCGGTCAAACAACAACAATGACAAGACATAATAATTAAAAAACAGCAAATATTTGTAGGTTTTTGTATTCATCATATAGATAAAAAATAGATATTTGTTTGCTGTGAAACATAATGGAAATTAAAATGCTGTATTGCTTTTTGAATTGTCAGCTTTATGTCATTTTGGAGATTTTTTTTTACATTTTAGCAATTATACTATAGACTACACCATTTAAAAGTTAAGTAAAAGTTGATTTTTTTTTCATTTTTGAAAAGCTATATTTTTGTAACCCCCATTTATTATTATACTTTAAATATATATTTTTTCTATTATTTTTAACATCAGTTATTTTCATATGCCGATTTATTTTTGTGGAAAGCATTAAATGTAATATTAATGTATGTATTTGTTTATTTATAAATTTATTCTGCTAGTTTTGGTCAATAGAAAGTTTAGAATGATATAAATCTTCTGCATCATAACAAAAAAACCTTTATATATTATTGGTTAATTAATCAATTCAACATGCCCTGGCTAATTAAGTGTTTTAATTTATTTTTTAAAAGTCTTATTTACCCAATATTTTTCAGTTGACAGTGGCAGATAATAGATTTTTTTCCCACACATATTAGCCAGCATTAAAACATTTATAAAACAATTTTTTCCAATTATTCTTTAATTTTCCTTCATCTCTTTCCCTTTATTCATCAGGGGTCACCACAGCGGAATGAACCGCCAACTTATCCAGCAAATTTTTTACACAACGGATGCCCTTCCAGCTGCAACCGAGTACTGGAAAACATGCATACATACTCATTCACACACTCATACTAAGGCCAATTTAGTTTATTCAATTCACCTATAGCCCTTGTCTTTGGACTGTGGAGGAAACCCACACCAACACGAGGAGATCATGCTAGCTTCACATAGAAATGTCAATTGACCCAGCCGGGACTTAAACAGTGACCTTCTTGATATGAGGCGATCGTGCTAACCACTGAGCCACCATGTCGCCCTTTATACAATTATAAATATTAAAATAAATAAATCCCATTTTAATAAATGACAACTTTCCTATGTTTTTTATTCAAAAATATCCTTATTCTGAGAACTACACTGTTCAAAATTTGCATTCAAACCTAATTATAGGCTATTATTCTCTTCTGAATAGACATGTGAGTGTGGTTTGATCAAGTCTAGCTGCTTGCTGATATTAATCCAAACATAATATGATACTATTGTAATACGAGTGAGTCCAAACAGCATAATGTCTTTTTTGAATGCCATAAAAAATAAACTTAAGAAATAGAAAGTAATAGATTAAATAAACTAAAAAGGCACAATGTCATGGGCAAGTGTAACTTAAAAATAAAAGATATTAGTTATGAAATCAGGAAAATATTTTGAGAATGACACAATGAAACAGTTTTATGGGCTTTTTTTCCGCTTTGCTTTTATTTTAATTTTTTATTCATTATTTTGCATCACAAAAGCTGAGGAATAAAGTACTTACTTTTTTTACATTAACATCAAATGAACAAACCCATATGAGAAAGCAAAAAATGACGGGATATATAAATTACAAGAAATTCAAATAAGAAAATGATTACAAAAATTGCATACATCCTTATAGCTTTTTATTTTTAAGATCTTTTAGGGTTTCAGTATGATCCTTAGATCATTTTAAACAAATAAATGTTAGGTTTACCACTGGACTATTTTTGTTTTACACTGTTTGTGTATTTCTCATACATAATCATAAAATTAATAATCAAATTTTGCTCCAAAGCTTTTCTGTCATTGTTGTATATCAGGCAGTTCATTCCGCTGTGGCAACCCCTGATGAATAACTGAAGGAAAATTAATAAATTAATGTCGTATATCAAAAAAGTATATATTTACAAGAAACAGAATTTTTAGTTAAGTAAGTTTAAATATAATATATTCAACATCAACCAAAACATCTGGGTATATGTGCATTTAAAATAACGGCTTGTGATTATTCATCTGATTAAATTTTAAATTAATATTTGGCACAAATCAAAGAATTTGGCAGGTTTATATATATATATATATATATATATATATATATATATATATATATATATATATATATATATATATATATATATATATATATCCCTGGTGCGAGGTCCCTTTCATCGCTGCTTGCAGCTTTAATAATAATTTGACAATACACTAAAATAAAACAATAGGTTAATGTCAGGGTGACACAAAGTAAAAAAATAAAATAAAATAAAATAATAATAATAATAGTACAGAAAACGTCAATTAAGGGGAAAAAACAAACAAACACACAAAAAAACACGCATATAAATAAAAAAAATTAATAAAATTCTTACAATTACAGACATGCAGGACCATTATATGAGTCACAAATTTTAAAAATAAAACACAAATCGACAGTTTTAATGGTCATTCTTTTATGTTAAGTAATGCAGAAGTATTTTTAGTTCCTTATCAAGCACACTAACGCAGAGTTTTCTTCTGTAATAGTGGTCTGTGGTGAAGAAGACAGCCATCAGAATGATGTCATTATTATCGGTGGCGGAGGGAGGGACCGCAGTGCTGATCCTCCGCCTCCTCCAGTGCACACCGAGCGGCGAGTCAGATTCCCATTACTGCGGGCGGGTCTCCAGCGATAACAACGAGAAATTCATACACATTCAGCCCAAAACTCGGACGCGACAGGCAGTTAGGCACCTAAGAGCAAACAGGAGGTATGTATGTTTTCATCTGATGTCTATAAAATCTATTTTTCACATGTCGGACTTTAGGAATGTTAATAGATAACAAGTTTGCTGGGAAAAGTAGGTGGTGGCTCGAGACGTTAGTTCGATGTTTTCACGTCGGAAATTCAGTCAGGATATGAGTTTGTACATACTAGGCAGTGTGGCAGCAAAGTGAAAGTCTATGTTTAGAGTTATGTGGTGTCTTTATGTGCTCTTTAAAACATATTCCGAAAGCTCTCCGCGAGTTGCGGTTGCTTTTTGGATTATCATGAGAAGTAATGAATCGCTGTTTCTGTAGTCGTGCGTAAATCAGTTTCCTTCAGTCGTGAAACAAGGGCGTTGTTGTAGTAGTCGACCGCGAACAAAACTTTTCCCCTAAACCCAGCAGAGCGACTAACTAACCTGTTGTTCTACTACCGACTGTCAAGATGACATGTTGGTTTATCAATAGCACTGCCGTCTTACAAATGTGCCTTAGGCCAAAGGCTGCGTGCGTTTTGTGGCAACCAAATGCTTGGATAAGACTTAAGAAAGGCCTGATCTTTAATCCTTGAGGTGCTGTAGGCCATTTTAGTCTGAGTTCAGCGATATTTCATAGTGCCCAGATTTCAGTATGAACTGTAGGAAAAACTGTTACAGACTGAGGCAGGGTGGTGTTCCCGTGGTCGTGGGAAAAATGGAAATGTCAGGGAATGTCAAAAGTGTTTTTTCCTGTTTTGTCAGGCCAGCTAATGTTCTCTTTGAAATGAATAAAGTTGTAAAATGACTTTGAGAATTCTTATGTTTTTCCCTTTACTTATTCACTATTTCTTTGGCTAGAAATTACTCTTAACTATTTTTTCCTTATTGTGGGAACTAGTGTTTAAAATTGATTTGAAAAATTATTTTTACTTTTCACAATTGCTGAATAATTTATCACAATGCTTTGAACATTTTAATGAATAACAAGAAGAGATTTAGAAGTTGAACTAACAATGTTTTGGGCTAGCATGTTTTGTATATACATCACCACATGGTATTGTATTATTGGATACTAAACGCTGGCTTATTGAATTCAATTCAGTTCAGCTTTATTTGTATAGCGCTTTTACAATGTAGATTGTGTCAAAGCAGCTTCACATAAATGGTCATAGTAATTGGAACAGAGTAGTTTAGTTTTTTTAGTGTTTAAGTTCAGTTCGGTTTAGCTCAGTTCAGTGTGGTTTAAAATATTGAATACTAATTATTCATAAAGTGAGATAAAACCTGCTCTTTCTTAACAAAGAATTATATATATAACTAATCTTATACATAGGCAGGTTTTTTCTCACTTTATGAATAAATGAATACTATATAGGCCTATTAGGGATGCTATCGGTTTTGCCTGTACTTATCGGTACTTGCTAATTTGGCCGATCTCATGAGCCGATCACAATTGTTTATTTACGAGTTTACAAGCAAAGGACACATAAGAACTGAGTGTTCTGTGTTTTCAACAATATCGCATGTTCATTAAAACCTGGCGGGAAATATTATGGAATATATATATATATATATATATATATATATATATATATATATATATATATATATATATATATAAACGAAAAATTTTATAGTTAAGACTTCATTGAGACTTGTTGAATTCTTCTTTCAGGATTTGCAGTTTCCAATTTGCTTTATTAGTGATTCTTCTTGCCAATTCTTTTGTTCTGTAAAGTTGCTGCTGACCATGACATGTCCACACTAAATGATTAAGTATCTTGAGTATCTTAAGCTTAAGTATACTTCGACTGAAAATATGCTTTATACATTTTAAAGCTTAAAGCATCAGAAACGGTACTTGGTATGTCGATCACCATGACAAGGAATCGATATTTGATATCGGATGCAAAAATCCTGATCGAAGCATCCCTGCTATATATATTTTTGAAATTTACCTAAATAATCTTGGAATTATGCACAATACTGATGAAGTGTGACAACTTGTTTTGGTGTGTGCTTCATACATGGGGTATGTATGTTTCAAGGCATATTTGGCAATTTCTAATTATTATTCTTTTATTTAGCCAGGCGATCATATCTAGATATTACTCTTATACTAATATGAGATTACTAATCTCTTCTTCCAGTGAGACCTGGTTAAGATGGCACAACACAAAAGATGTTTTCCTATTGAAAACAGTATATTTTGTATATGCATCACCACATTGTGTTGTATTATTGAATACTGGCATATATATGCCAAAATTATTTGTTTAGAGTGGGTTTTAATCTCAGTTTATGAATAATTGAACACTATATACAGTTGAAATCAGAATTATTAACCCCCTTGTTTTATTACCCCCCCCTGGTTATTTTTTTGCCCAATTTCTGTTTAATGGAGGGAATATTTTTTCAACACATTTCTAAATATCTCATTTCTAATAACTGATTTATTTTGATTATGATTACAGTAAATAATATTTTACTAAATATTTAGTATTCAGATTAAAGTGACATTTAAAGGCTTAACTAGGTTATTTAAGTTAACTAGGCAGGTTAGGGTAGTTAGGCAAGTTATTATATAACGATGGTTTGTTCTGTAGACTATTGAAAAAATATATCTTAAAGGGGGTAATAATTTATGCAAATGTTTAAAAAAATTTAAAACTTTATATATATATATATATATATATATATATATATATATATATATATATATATATATATATATATATATATATATATATATATATATATATATATATATATATATATAATTTATTCATTCATTTTCTTGTCGGCTTAGTACCTTTATTAATCTGGGGTCGCCACAGCGGATTGAACCGCCAACTTATTCAGCAAGTTTTTACCCAGCGGATGCCCTTCCAGCCACAACCCATCTCTGGGGAAACATTCACACACACATTCACACACACATTCATACACTACGGACAATTTAGCCTGCCCAATTCACCTGTACCACATGTCTTTGGACTGTGGGGGAAACCGGAGCACCTGGAGGAAACCCACGCGAAGGCAGGGAGAACATGCAAACTCCACACAGAAACACCAACTGAGCCGAGGTTCGAACCAGCGACCTTCTTGCTGTGAGGCGACAGCACTAACTACTGCGCCACTGCCTCACCATATTTTATTTATAAATATTTAATTTTAAGTAAATTTACTAAAATATTACTGGAGTTATGCACAATACTGAGATACTGTGACCACTTGTTTTGGTCTATGCTTCATCTGTATGTTTCATAATTTACAAACACGTATTTGGCAATTTTCTAATGATTATTCCCTTGTTCAGCCAGGAGATCCCATTGAGATATTACAATCTGTTGTTATTCCAGTGAGATCTGATTAAGACGTCAGCACATAATAGTTGCATGCAAAGACTCACAAGATGGATTAGAAATCTATATAAAAGAAAAAGAAATGCATCCTAAAATACATGCACTAACAAGTTGCAATATACAATGGTTATACAAGTCATAAAGCAAACCCTTTGCCTTTTATTATTATTTTTTTAATGATTAAAATCCAAAACACAGCAGTTTCATATTTCATTTTTAAGCTTGACTTAATGTTTTAGGGCAAATAAAACTAAAGTAAAAATCTCTTGTCAATGTTAAACAAGATCAACCACATATCCAAATCCAAAATGGTGTTCTAAAAAACATTGGAAACAACAGAGGTTTGCCTCATTCTTTTAGACATGCACCATGACAGTAGAGCCCCACTGATGGATATGTAAGACACAATGACTGCCAAAAAGTAGAATTAAAAGGCTATTAACAAAGCTGGTCTGGAAATGACAAGGACTGAATGCTGTCTAAATCCAAATCTTATTAACTGTTGGTTTCCACCTTCTGTTTGTTCATTAACTCTGATTATTTAATGCATTTTAGATTGAAAGAGAGGGTAAGTTAATGCCTAGCCCTAGATAATCCATTATGCTGAAAACTAATTGATTAAGACTGATAATGTGTCAAATATGTGCATTAAAAAACCCATTTGTTTGATGACAGAAACTCTTGTTGCTTTTTTATGCAAAACGTCAAACCGTTCCTATAGACAACATGATCATTTGATGACATGATTATTTTATACACATGGCACATTAACATCACTTAGAGTATGGCCTGAGATTGAGCTAATATGGATTTTAGGTTTGTTGAAAATGCTTTATTGACTAGTTTCAAGGCAGATCTGCATTATAAATTGCTCCCAGAATCCTCAGCATGCTTCCTGTTGCATTAAGCCTCTGATGCCGTTGTCAGCCTGCCATCTGGTGAACTTTGCCACACTTTCAAATATTATCCTACTGCAGAAGTGCATTTTCAGTTTCACAACCTCTGAGGCTATATGCACCATTTTGTGTCTTTTTTTGACAGTGTAGTGTTTTTGGCTCACAGGACACATGCAAAACTTCGATTCAACTGGATTGATGAATAATGAGTCAGTATGAATCAAAATATAGTCACTGTCTGATGGATCAAAGCAAGGCAAACCAGGTCAAAGATGCTATCACTGTTTTACTCAACTAGATCTATTCAGTTTATTATCTTCACTAATGAGGTGTTTTTTTGTTGTTGTTGTTTTTTTTAAATGTCAGGGTAACAATAACAACATCATACAAATGTGTTACAAAGAGTGTACATGACTTTTACAGAGAAGTAAAGCATCAAATAAGCACATAAAAGAGAAAAAAATACAAGAACAAAAGAAAAACAAATAATATGAAATTATTAATTATAAGAAAATAAAAAAAGAGTAAAATAAGTTAACAGTTTTATTTCCTTTTTAAGATTTTTAGAGGAAGCAATAGTTCTAATCTACTGTTGAATTTCCTTTTCAAAAACAATAAAACAAGGTATACTCTGAGAGAATTTACAGTGGATATGGAATTTAGCAAGGATTAGAATGAGATTAATAATGAAATATTCCTCACTTTTCACTGATGAGGTGTTAGTGAGTCCATTGGATCACTTACTGGATCATACAGCCTATGTGGA